CTCAAGAATCAAGATTAAAATGTTTTTCTAACTACAAAACTTTTCCAAAAAAGGGGAAAGATTATAAAAAAATGTGAAAAAAGCAACAATTGTTTTTATCCGGACACCAAAAGTCGGAAAACTTTACAGAAGATTAATAAAGAAAAGCGGTACCAACCATGACGACAAAGAACACGGTTGAATCTTCCAGTATTAACTCGCGGAGACTCCAATTTCGCTATTTTAATTTAGTCAACAGAATTATTGCTTTTCTTAATTTGCCGCTGCAAACTGACACGTCACACACACACACAGAGAGTTTTCTGACCAGATTACCAGCGAAAATAAGCTGAGACACCTCATCCGAGTCGTCATCATCTGTCAAAGTCGCATGATGTTTCCTACCGTTCCAATCATTCACATTTCACATTGCCACCATTCAATAAAAAGAGGCCCAAATCGTAATTGAAATCCTCGCTTTATAAATTGGATTGATAGTCACTTGTGTTCAAGACCCGTGAAAGTTCAGAAACAGCTGATTAATACGGTGACATTTCTTTTCCTTCTTCTTCTTCTTCTTCATTCAGCCCATTTCTGATTCAAAAGATTCGGAATTGAAGGTTATTTTGAATTCTCTGCTAGTTTTCCTCATCTGGGTCGGCGAAGATTTTGCTACTTGATTCAATTGCTATCCGGGTTAAAGCTCATTAGTTGCAGGTAAACATGCATCTTTGGTTCTTGGAAACTATGGTTTTCTGTGTTGTTTACACCGTATGATGTGGGGATTTTGATTTTTTTAAATGAGTTTTGGTGGGGTCTATTTCTGTGGGGCATTTACTGATAGATGCTCCCTGGATCTGTTAAAGACAAAAAAGATAGGTAAAAAGATGATGATTAGTGTGTCACAGATGAATGGCCATTTCTGTGTTGCATACTGGAACTTGAAAAGATAATTTATTTATTTGCTGGGCGAGTTTATTTTTTTTTGTTGCGGCGTTTGAAGGTATTAGTAGTAGTTTTTGACTAAATCATTCCTCAGAAATTGTATCATTTGGAAGCATTCATTTGTGATCTAGTGTTGACCTCTAATAATTGGGTAAATGGTGAATAGCTGGTGTTAGATTGATTTAGCACGATAAATACAGTTTTTGGGTTGGTTCTGTGCTGATTTACCAGATGAGGGTATATCTAAATCGTGAATTATATATGTTGCGAAGTTGTATCATAAAAAATCTATGGAAGTTCGGGGGTGGGGCGGCTGGCTGGTTGGCCTATGCTGATATATCAATGATTTAGATAAATGTTCATTATGCATGCCAAATATGGATAATAAAACCTTCAACTGAGTTACTGGGATGACACGACAACTTCTTGATTAATTTCCTTCTCATTGGTCATTATATGCTGAGAACTTTGTGTTGTTTGTAGTATAATTCATCTGGCCACAATCATTACTGCTTTTTGTAGCCATCAATAATGTGAAATCTTAGACCAAGTGATCCTGGCCTGGGTTCTTTACTTTTCGATGGTTTGCATCTGATTGCAAGTCGAAAAACTCTGCTCTTCTGTTGATGCAATTTATCCACGGTTGACCTGTGTAACTGCTGTGTATGTCCTCGCCCTACTTAAGAACGTACTGGATGATTTTTTTACATCATGTTGTAGGATTCAAATGTTTTTCATTTGTTGGAACCAATTCATGAAAAAGACATTCTTTATCCATATAGAAAGTGCTACTTGTAGTCCTGAATTGGTTGCCTCGATCTACAGAACCATGGATTTGGCTTGGTTGTGTGTTTCTGGACATGGAATGCTAAAATCATGAGATACTATGTAGTTTCAGAAACTGGCTAGGACAGAGTGTGAGTTACTAGAACTGGCATCCCCTTGGTTGACCTACAACTTCCACAACCACGTTCACTTCTAGAATTTCACGTTTGAATTGTATTCCATTGAATTCTTTACCCAGCATCTACATTGTTATTGTTTTGAGAAAAGTCCATATGAAACCGGATGAATTACAGTTTTAGGAACTGACACGGGGTCAGTCGGATACTGTAAATCGAAGTTTCTTTGGTGTGAAAAATTGCTTGTATCTGCCAGAAATATGTGACCTGTATTGGAGCCAAAGAATAGCTGCTCCAAATATCCTCTCAAATTCTCAATATGGTTTTTGTTTCTATTGCTTGTATTTGTACAGACAATTAAAATGGCAGAAGCTGGAAAGGTGGTGAAGAATAAGCAGGTGCTATTCAAAAACACTACAAGTGGCTCTCCTAAAGCATCTGATTTTCAATTCACTGCTGACAGCACCATAAGTTTGGAAGTCCCGGAGGGCTCTACCGCGGTGTTGCTTAAGAATCTTTATCTGTCATGCGATGCATACATGATGTTTCTCACACGACCAGGTTCTGGTCTTGAAAACGAAGTTGCTAGTTACAAAATTGGCTCTGTAAGTGTATCTCTTTCCTCTTTTCACTCTTGATGTTGATATAGTTACAGTTTTACTATTGATACCCTTTGCTTATACATTACATGATCGTGTTTGAGGGATAGACTTGAATTTTATTTATTGTAGTCTGTGTGTATAACTGTTGCAGTCCATTTGATGGGGTAATTACTGCTTATTGTAAAGGCAAAACTAGTATACTATTTCTAATGGTGAAACAGTGAATTTTTCTGTAACATTGATGCCTCTATGATGTATGTGTCTATTTTCCTTGAACTCTGTTGTCTCTTTACTTCTTTCACACATCTATGCAGTTGGAGGATCAAAATATCCAACTTTTTTTTCAACCTTCTCAATTGTGGGATGTTACGTTAGACCTGTTAAAGATCAATTTATAAGCTGAAATGATGGGGAGATCAGTAATTACATTTCTGAATTTTACAGGGAAGTTCAAAGTGTTGTAGCATGTAGTTTGAAATGTTTGTCCCTTGTTGATTACTACTGCAATTTGGACGACATGATTGTATTGTGACTCAATTTTATTTGTCAATCTGAATGTATGGTTATTCTTGTTGGCTGATTGTAAGTAGTACAACTCTAATCCACCTGTTTTAATTGTTTAATGTGCAGCCCATCACTGGTTATGGGGTATCAAAGGTTGTGGATTCAAAACACCCCAAGTTCCAAAAGGGTGACGTAGTATGGGGTACAACAGGATGGGAAGAGTACAGTCTCATAACAAAACCTGATTCTTTGATCAAAATAGAGCACAAAGATATACCACTTTCTTATTACACTGGAATTTTAGGTAAACACCTTTTCGACACTTTAAAAAGAATGGTGAAGCTGTGAACTTCCAGATAATTTTTGAATCATTGAAACTCAACTATGTGTATCTTGTACTCTGGAGGCTGTTAATGCATTTGTTTGGTATTTTTAAACTTATATTTGTCATTATGCAACCTATTCTTAATAATGCCTTGCATCATCATTGTCATATGCCCGGTCCAATTTCTTCAGTTCATCTAAAAAGTGTGTTTTTTGGCCGTCGTAACAATGAGTAAGAAAGTCTCCAGCATTTGTTTTATCAATGTTTGCCTACAGCATCCTGTACCAGGGCTTCTTCATAACTTTCAAAATTGAATCTGCAATAATCTCCTTGTAAAGAAACCATCTTTTTTTCCCCTTCTTCTTATGTCTTGATTTAATAGGGTTTGATTCTGCAAACATGCCTAAGATGCATACTGTCACATGTCATATCTTATATGCTTTTTTTTCTTTTTTTTTTTTTGTATTAGTTCTTTGTAGGAGATTTGTTGTAATCTTTGCACTTCAGAAAATGTAGAGTTCATCATTTTCATATTTTTGAGATGTAATTGTTCCATATTTTGGTGAAGGTATGCCTGGTTTGACTGCTTATGCGGGATTCTATGATATATGCCAACCAAAACCTGGCGATAGAGTGTACGTGTCTGCTGCAGCCGGTGCCATCGGTCAGCTTGTGGGCCAATACGCAAAATTGGAAGGTTGTTATGTTGTTGGAAGTGCTGGAAGTAAAGAGAAGGTATTTGAAATTTCAACCTTCAATTCTGAGTAGTCCATTTTATTTCTATTTGCTAGACTTCAGCCTGGTAGATACCTTAATTTTTACTTTACAGTTGCGTGTGACAGTTAGGGAGTTTTTATTGGTTGTGTTATATATGTTCCCTTGCGTTAGAGTACACACGTGATGATCGTCTTTGGATGACCTTGAGTTTTTCAGTCTGCATAGGATGTTTTTTGAAATTGCAAATCTAATTATATATTAATAGATTGACACTTTCTCTTGGGATATATCTGTTGAATTTGAGGTCCATCTCATTTCTCATGTCACTTTAAAGTTAGGCACTTAAATGTTTGGAGTTCAACATTTTTTGCCTTTTGAGTCAACCTTAATGTTCACTGAATTCGTAATTCTCGTTTTGACATTCTGGTCCTCTCTTAGTTTCTTGCTTGGGTCTCATACATCTCTCATCAAGCTTACCGCCGTGTTGTTTAAAACTGAAAAGTTTTAACTTTCATCTTTTCATTCTTTTACTTGAAAAGGTTGATCTTCTGAAGAACAAGCTTGGATTTGATGATGCTTTTAATTACAAAGAAGTGGAAGACTTAGATGCCACGCTGAAAAGGTTTGTATCGTAATAGAAAAAACATGCGTAAACTTGCATTATGCAAAATTCTTGTAACTTCTGAGGATAAGCAGTTATATTTTTGGTCTATCTCGTGGTGATCACTTCTGTCGTTTACCTAGTTAACAGCTGCTAAAGTCATAGCAGTATACTCTTAAATGGACCCGTTGTTTACACAATGCTGTATATCTTTAAAGCTATTTAATAATCTCTCATTTTCAAGCTATGGTATGCTCTCGATTCCAATAACAGGAACAGTAGAAAAGTTAAAACCATGACCTATTTAAATGATCTTTTCTGTGTGATTCAGCTTTTTAACTGATCTAGTTCTGTAACTCTGTACTTTCCAAGTTTAAACCCGAATATGCGTCACTTATCTGTCACTATTTGTAACATCTTTGCAGGTACTTCCCTGAAGGAATTGATATAGACTTTGAAAATGTTGGGGGAAAGACTTTGGACACTGTGCTTGTCAACATGAGAATGCACGGACGCATTGCTGTATGTGGAATGATCTCGCAGTACAATCTGGAGAAGCCGGAAGGAGTGCACAATCTTGATCAGTTGATCTTCAGGAACCTCAAAATGGAAGGATACACATCGTTCGAGGTTTACCATTTATACCCTAAGATGCTGGACCAAATCGTGCCTTATATCCGGGAAAAGAAGGTTGTCTACGTAGAAGACATTGATCATGGCCTTGAAAATGGTCCTGCAGCTCTTGAAGCTTTGTTCAGCGGTCGCAATGTTGGGAGAAAACTGGTTGCAGTTGCCACTGAATGAATGGGTCTGGTTCTGCAACTTTTTCTTCCATCCATTGTTTTTCTTGATTCCTTACCTTAAATAGTAGGAAGGTTGTAATTGAAAAAGTTGGAACTAATGACTGTTTTACAGTACAAAGTTTATTTGAAGTTTACAGTGCAAAATAGTTACCTGAGTCTAATAAAATGAAGGTTGTAAGTCCTTTTTTTTTTTTTTTTGGATAAAATAAGATGATTTATTGATTTATTTATTTTTATATGTCCAATAAATCTCTCTTATTCCCTGGCCTGAAACATATAAGATGTACTTTTATATCTCCATTTCTTCGTTGTGTTGATATAAATTTTATCTTTGTTTTCTGTTTTGCATTTCAAAATTTAGAGTAAGATAGGTGAGATTACATCAGGCATGAGTTGTAGGCACCTTCAAAATTTTTTTTGACAAAAATGACCCTGAAAGGAGTGTATCCCTCAAGTAAAGATTTAGTCTAGTTTCTACCGATCTTGTAAAATTCTCACAGGGCGGCAGCTGAGTAAGACAATAATCACTCTCACTCATTAAAATAACATCTTGAGTTCGACTTTTTAACTTTCAATAGGGTGGAGACTCCAAATGCCAAATGAAAAAGGTCAGGGACAGTGAAATTTTGAAACAACTGAAAATTTTGTAATAGAGTAACTCTGGTGTTAGTGAGGCATGTGTGTGTTTCTGTTTATCTTTCGGAATAGGTTGATGTAAATGTTGTAAATATGTGAAGTTTTGAAGATCGGCAATATAAATTTACAGTTTACCGAAAAAAAAACTTTAACTTTTAACATAAAGTCGTTTGGGTCTCTCTATTCTCATAGACCAGTGGAGAAATTTGCCATAGCTCATAACCTCCCTAATATGAGAATAATCTCCGAAGCACCCTTTCCACCCCTATCTTCAAAATACATATCTTAGTAATCCTTGTGAACTTTGACAACTCTAAATTACAAATATATAGCGAAATGAGTCGTACCACGATAAAATGGGCTTTGTACAATCAACCACGAGATTAAGAATTTGGTTCTTTATGCTGATGTAGGAAACATGCAGTTGTAGAGGAAGCTAATAGCTAATATGGCCGGCGGCGGAGTCAGAATTTCATTGTAAAACGTGCAATCATGAGATAAATGTATTAAATATGAAAAAAGATATCAAATGTAAAAACTACTAACATATCACTTTTTTTCTCATTCAAAAAAGATTTGTATCAATTTAATAACTTTAAATAATACTCTCGCCGTCCCATAACTATTGCACAGTTTATGTTTTCATTTCTAGTTCAAATTGTACTAAAAGTGAAATATCAAATTATACATTAATTTTGAGACAAAGGAAATAGTATTTTACACAACTTTCACAACTAAAGATCTTATAATTTTAAAGTTTAAATTTATTATAGTATCTCTCTCCCTAGTAGATGCTACTCCAGTTGTAATAATAGTATAAATATCTCTAGGTCATGAATAAGTACCGATCTACTGAAAAGTAATGTCAAGATCGGTCACAGAGGACAAGACACATCAACCCTCTAACAATATCCTCTTTCCGACTAAGACCTATTGTTGTTATTACAGTCCAGATACCCAAGATACCAACTAACCGTTGTTCTTAGAGAAATAAAGAAAGGAAGGAAGATAGAATTCTAAAGCATATTTACTAAGACGATCATCTTATTCAAATTTTATTAGCTCATCACATACGAAAGCATAACATTTGTTTATGTATTCTTTTTGTTCATGATAATGGAGATTAGAGACATCCACTAAGCTAAATCAATCTGATAGGAATAAAGAATTTTCTCAACAACAACAACAACCATTTTTTCTATTAGGTGGGGTCGGCTATATAGATCAACTCAGTTAAATTATATTCTGTCCAAAAATTATTATTTTTTATTGTTATAATAAAATAATATAATAATACTGTATTTCTTCCGTCCCGAAATTATTGTCCATTTTAAAATTTTCAATTTCTGGTTCAAATTACATTGAAAATATAAATCAAAACTGGACAATAATTATGGGATATCGAGAGTATATGTCAATAGTTTTTGGGACGAAAGGAACCTACCTCTTTCCAACCCATAAACATCCAGATTGTGTCAATAATTCGTTGAGTTCACTCATTTGCGTTACATAATTCGCCTTGTACCATTATGAGATGGAACAAACTTTTTTTCATTACCATATTTTATGGTTGCACTATTTTGCAGCACAAAATGATAGCAATTTCCACCTGATGGCAACCAAAATAAAATAAAGTATCAATTGAGACGCCATTTCTTACCTCAAAGAACTCCAGGATTCTCTATAAAAAGCAATGCAAATTTGTAATTCAAACCATCCCAGCATATCCTAATTAGTATATTCAGGTTCAGTTACAAATTAAGCTCAATAAAATATTGTGGTTGTGGCCATGGCAGAAAAAGCTGGAGTGGTGAAGAACAAGCAGGTTCTGCTGAAAAATTATGCTAAAGGATTAGCAAAAGAGTCTGATTTGGAAATTAGCACAGAAAGCACCATAAAATTGGAAGTCCCAGAAGGCTCGAATGGTGTTTTACTCAAGAATCTCTACTTGTCTTGTGATCCTTACCTGGCAACTATCATGAAAGGGACATTACATAATCCTCTGTTTCCGGTGTACTCTGTTGGTTCTGTAAGTGGGAAATCACCCTTCATTTTATGCTTGATTAGTTCTTCAAGAAGTTGTGTCAATATGGATAATGTCTAAGAGAATCATAAACTCTGTAATGTTAGGAATTTCCACTTTCCAGAATAAAATTTTTGTACTATAAAGCATTAGTTCAAGAAACATGACTACCTGAGTATTGTTTAATTAGGGACGCTGATTTTACATGATTGTACATTCATGGTTTGATGCAGCCGATAAAGGGGTTCGGTGTGTCCAAAGTGCTGGATTCAAAGCATCCAAATTTCAACAATGGAGATTTGGTTTGGGGTGAAACTGGATGGGAGGAATACAGCCACATAGAAAAGCCTGATTCATTCTTCAAGATTGAGCACAAAGATATTCCCCTTTCCTATTACACTGGACTTCTTGGTAAGTTTCCAATCTTTCTACAGAAATCATTTCCTTATTATGGTTAGGTCTATGTGGTAAGTTTCAATCTTTCTACAGAGCTCACTTCCTGATAATTGGAGGGCCGAGAAACAGAACTGTCCTTTGTAAACATTTAGAGATTTTATTTTTTATTTTTTTATTTTTTGTTGCAAAATATCAGTGTCTTTTTGTACCAATTTTTTGTTGCAAAATATCAGTGTCTATTTCTCTCATTTTTAATTTTTGTTTTGGTTTTTTTTTTTTGCAAAAAAAAAAGGTGATAATATTTTCGTATTGTTTTTTTGTGAAGGCATGACCGGTTTGACTGCATATGTGGGATTCTTCGAGATAGGCAAGCCGAAGAAAGGCGAAAAAGTGTTTGTATCTGCAGCATCTGGAGCAGTAGGTCAGGTGGTTGGACAATTTGCTAAATTGAGCGGATGCTATGTAGTTGGCAGTGCTGGAAGTGAAGAAAAGGTACGAATGTATATCGGTTTTTGTTTTGTAATTTAAGATGATTTAACCGAATCATTAGGTCGAATTAGCTGCTTTTTATACACTTTCTTCCTAGAAATGAAAGTTGTTCTTCATATGTTTTGTTTATTGAAATGGCAAGGTTGATCTTCTGAAGAACAAGCTTGGATTCGACGACGCTTTCAATTACAAAGAAGAACATGACTTGGTTGCTGCTGCTCTGAAAAGGTGCGTATTATTTCTTCTGGCCTTATGCTTATTAGTACAATGTGAAAGCAACAAATAGATTCATAGCTGGGTTGTTATATATCTCCGGTTTCATGCATTCCCGAATAAGAATTAGCAGTTATTTGTTCATGTCGAGAACAAAAATCCTAAACTTGTGAAGCCAATTCAACTCTAGAGTAGTTGATACCAAAATGGCTAGTTGTAAATGGATAGTTGATACGAAAATGGCTAGTTGTAAATGCAGATGGATGAAATCTTTGAAACTAGTTAATCTTTTTCCAGATATTTCCCCGAGGGAATCGACATCTACTTCGATAATGTTGGAGGAAAGACACTGGATGCAGTTCTCCCAAACATGAATATGCACGGTCGGATATCTGTGTGCGGAATGATTTCTCAGTACAATGCAGAGAAACCCGATCCGCTACACAACAGCGCTTGCATCCTCTTCAAGCGTCTTAGAGTCGAAGGTTTCCAGGTTTATGAATGTTTTCACCTTTATCCAAAGTTGTTGGAATTCGCAGTGCCTTACATCCAAGAAAACAAGATCACTTGTGTGGAAGATATTGTGGAAGGCCTTGAAAACGGACCGGCTGCCCTAGTTGGCCTCTACAGCGGCCGTAATGTCGGAAAACAGGTTATTAAGGTTTCTTCTCCATGAATAAAGAGTGATCGAATCTCATCTACCAATATATCCTCCTTAAGTCTGTGTTTTTGCAAGATGTGTACACATTTTGGTGTGAAATTTGTGTGTTTCTTGAGTTCTTGATACATAGGTTGTGGTTGTTTCTTTTTATAATAAAATCCAAAGGATGATATAATATAGAGTTCATATGTACCTCAATCGCACTTATTTCATGATTTCTCGATTCAAGTCTACTGAAATGATGGCAATTGTGTGATACATTAGACGAATTTTTACTTTTTGTTACATTCACAAATTCTAGCCAGAAAATAAACATAAGAGCTCTAGAGTTGTGTTACGAGTAATGTTGAGAACATGACTCTATATAATGTAACACAAATGTAATTGTGTCTAATTTATACTACTTGTGGAAGGAATTATGATTTATAAGTCAAGCTTTGAACGTTTTGAAGTACAGTTTGGAACGTTATTTGGCTAACTAATCACTCTTCTAGTAAAAAGGTTGTTGAATTCATTTTTTTCATTCTTCTTTAACCAAAGGGTCAGGGGTTCAGAATCCATCCTGATTATGAAATAACTTCAAATCTCTTAACCAACATTCCTTCGAACGAAATGCCTACAATTCAATAATAGTACGAGGATTCAACACAATGACAAATAGTAGGAGGATTCAACACAATGACACATAGTCACATACTGTAGCTGTTCAGTCTTATGCAGTGTTGTTAAATTTGGGTCGGACTGAATGGTCGAACCGATTTAACTGAGAACCGGATCTCAAGCTGAGCCGAGTAAGACATTAAATCGACTGTTTATAATTCGGTCAAAACCGGTCAAGTTTTCGGTTAACTCGGAAATCGGTCAAACTCGGGTCGAACTGGGTTTTGGACTATTAGCCTACTTTTTAATTTTTTTCATTACTTTTGAGGATGAATTTTTAACTTTTGGCCCAGGATTAGATTCTTTGTGTTATTAATAGCCCATAACTTTTACATTTATGTGATTTACCCCATAATTTTAAATGTTTAAGTCTAAATTTTCAATTTAGTCATTCATCTCACATCTCAAATGTCAAATTGAATACTAACCATTATTTTGAACTAAGGTAAAATATTACTCCCCCCGTCTCACAAAAATAGTCCATATTGAGTTTTGAGTTTTGTACTGTTTTTAGTACAAATTTGAAAACTCAATATGGACTATTTTTTTTGGGGCGGAGGTAGTATAAACTACATAATTTGTGCAATATTCGTCACTTTAAACTAAAGTTGAAAAAATTATTACCAAATACATTGATTAAACATGCAATAAAATTTTTTTATGATAAAATTCAATTATGTAGTAAATTTATTAATTTTTTCATTATAATAAAAGTTAGTTTAAACTAATATTCTAGCTAATGTCATAATTTTGTTTCATAAAAAACCCATTTGAAATTTATGAAGCCCTAGTTTAATTTTAACAATTAACAAATATATGTAAAACATATAAAATTTTATTTTTAAATATAATTATTAATATTTAATATTTATTACATCATTATGACATCATCCAAGTTGACCCCTGAATCACCCCGAGTCGACCCCGAGTCACTCGACCCCTGACCATTGCCAAGTCGAGTTCCGGTCCGAGTCTGACAACACTGATCTTATGAACCTTTTGCTATCTTGTCAAAAAAAAAAAAAAACCTTTTGCTGGGCAAGGATTCCTATAACTTGTACGTTTATAAATGGTCCCTACTATTTGACCCAATAGTTTATGTTTGTAGATGGGCTGAACTAGCTAGCAAATTGAGGAACCGACAGAGATTTCTTTTCTTTCTTTCCTTTGTTTTCCTAAGCCCAAAAGAAAAAATGAGCTTCTTAGGAATTAAGGGTAATTTCTTAGGAAAGATACAAAGTTACAAATACAAACACATAGTATTTATTACTTCGGAAAATGTAAAAAATATGTTAAGATGAGAAAATTGTTAATATATTAATCTGAAAATACCGTCAAGAAAAGGAAATAAACAAAGATTTTTCTTACAGCCCGTATACTACACAGAAAAGCAGGGCGATCATTTTGAGACCGGAAATTTTTTTTTTTTAAATATATTTTCGCAATGCTAGTTTGAAAGTTTTATTTTTTATTTTTTATCATACAATACTTCCTCGAACAGTTCTTTGGTACACGCATTTGTTCTTCATGCAAGAACTGTTGCGGTGTTGCCAATCCGGAGGTAACAGAACTAAATGGCCTTGGCAGAATAATTGAGTGTAGCACATAATTTGAAGCTCGATAATTTCCAAATAGTTGCGATTCAATGAATTCGTTCTTAGCTTTTACCAATCATTCAGGAGATCATCGTCACTTAGATTGTTTTTTTTTCCCCCCATAGATTTGATTATTAGAAAATGATTGCCTCGTGAGATGGCCAAATTTTGAAAAGTCTTGCAATGTGAAGCCTACTCTTTTGATCAATAATTTCCTCCGAACTATTTCTCGAAGTTCAGTCGTGTGATTTATCATTTTCGCTTTTGTTTTTCATCTTTCTGGTCGGATGGAATCGGCAATTTATTAATTCAAACGTTTTTGGTTTTCTAGTACAATTCCATCCTACATATCGGACTTTAGATAGTTCAGACGTACCAATTAATAAGTGATTTAGTCAATTTAACGAAAACAAACATCCAAGCCAAACATTTTGATATTTATTATACCGTCCATCAGTTAAATAAAAAGGGAGAACAAAAATATATATATAAAAATTGAATCATCCGAATATGAACTTTTTATTTTTTTCTCGGGGACTAAATTCCGGAATGTGAGTTTTATTTATTTATTTTTACTGGTATGAATTTCGTTTAGGTTTGTTGGACAAGTAATCAACAAAAAGTTAAATATACGATACAAATTTTTTGGTTAGTTTTTTTCATTCCCCCTTCGACTAGTATAAAAAAAATAGTATCATTATATAAAAAAAGAAACCAGTGTGACGAATTCAAACACTCCAACATGCACACTAAATTGAACCGTCGTTGCACTCATTTTTAGTTTACTTGTCGAAATCATGAATTTAATGCATTTGATAAACAATTTTGACTCTTGTTTTCTTCTCTCTCTCGTATCTAAGTAACCCAGAGATTAGTTTTCTAAATCTCATATATCTATTATCGTAAGATTCAATGCAATAATAAATTTAGAAAGCAAGAATAGTGTGGTTAATTAGGAATTCATCCCATTCTATTATAATCTTTTCACGAAGCTGATTTTATTTCTGTCAATATGAAAATTACTGATGCACTTGTTATGTGAGGAAATCACATTGAGTCTAGAGAGCGAAACAAAGCATAAAACGTAAGTTGAAATCTAAGAAGAAGGAAATCTATTACATCTTTAATTAATATATTAAAAGAGAGTTTTTAATCAAACACATGTCGCGATATTAGATAAGGTAATTTACGTAGCGCAAAATTAGATACACAAGTCCACATGTCGCAAGCACATTAATTTTTTTATTCATAAATCCGTAAAATTTATAAATAATAACTAATTTTACCCGATTAATATTTCATATTTATAACTAAAATATTAAATTAACTAGGAGTTAATAAGAACTTTAACGGGTAAGCACTGGACAGGAAAAAAAAAATTAGATTAAGATTAAATTTTGTGTTTTAATTCGTGATTCATTTACAAAGGTAATTTATTTTGTGTTTATACGGGACTATACCCATATACTATAAGTTATAATTATGAAACTGTTGATCGTTTCTCTCGATTGATCCTTTGTTATCTCTCCTATCCTCCAGCTAGAAAGCGTAATGTACTCCGTTACTCGCCACTTTTGGATTTTATTTTTTTTTTGTTTGATTTTTCCTCTTTTTTTTTCCAAAAGAAATTAACTATCTTTTAGAAATTATTCGAATAATTTTTTTGACAGTTTTTTTTCCCGTATAATGATGTCCCTTGCCGAGCCAAATTTTCATGTAATTTTATATAAAATTACAAAGAAAATTGCCACAACATTATAGAAAAAATGAGCCTAAAAACTTTTTACTATAGATATATATTGAGTTTGTCATTAGTATCAATATATGCATATCTTAATAAAAAACCCTAACCAAAAATATAAATGAAAAACCAAAAAAACCATTGGGGCATCAAATCAGATGAGAAAAAACTTATAATGAAATAATATTGCCAAATAATATATCTTTTAATTGTTGGATATGTATTAACTTAGTTATGTGTTGATTACATTTAAGATATATATAAAAAGGTAAAAACCATGCAATCAAGAAAAAAAAGATGTAAATACTACATTATAGAAAAAAAAATATGAACAAACTTCAAAGGAAGCATTACACAAGGTATATAGAAAGACGGAAAACAAAGATAAGTTTATGAAAACAATAATGAGAAAAATTCCTGTTAGCGGGAGTGTTTAAAAGATATGAAATGAATAGAAATATTTAGAGGGATCACTTTAAAAAATTAGGAGAATACTTTTAAACGATATAAAATCCATAAATCAATAAAAAAAAAAGAATAATAAGTAACAATGGATGATTTCGAAAATTAAAAATTATTCCAAATGTACTGAAAATAACGAAACACGTTGACATTAAAAATTACACAATTATAATTTATATCATTATATATATATCTATATATATATATATATCACTCCATCAGAAATGTCATATAATCGTTAACTTATTAAACTCATATATATCTTGAACAACCCGCACAACGTGTAGGACAAACACTAGTATATATTAAAGGAGAGTTTTCAATCGGACACATGGTGCAAATTTAGATAGGCTAATCCATGTGGCGAAAAATTAGATATCTAAGTCCACATGTCGCAACCACATTACTCCATGATTTAATGGTAATTTATTCATACAAAATTGTAAATTTACCGATAAAAACTAATTAATTGGGGATTTTTCAAAACCAATCCAGAAATAACCCAAAACAAAGCACCCATCATCAAATGACACTGAACAATCACTTACTACACTAATGATTTTTCCGGCCAATTCAATTCTATAGAATCTCATGCAAAATAACCCCATATCTCCAACTAATCCAAAAATAACCTAATTCACCTATCAAGATTGGTTGGAATAAATTCATTCTAATATAATAATTAACTAAGAGATTACCTATTGACTGTAAATTTTAATGGTAAAAAGAGAAGTGGCTAAAAAAAAGCTTCAAAAAATAAATTCAATAACCAACTGAATTAAAAATCAAAAAACCATTTGTCGTTTTTTTTTCTTTTTTATTTCTTAATGTATAAGTTTTTATTTCAATTGGTGGTGCTTTAATTGTAATATGTTTAATGCTAATATATTTTTTGCTTCTTAACGAGCAATACCGATACAATGAGTACTATTGATTACGTTGTGTAAAATTTATCAGAAAAATAATAATAATACT